AAATAACACCTATTGGGTGCTCAAAACTTGTATTTATTCAACTTTTGTTGAAGAAAATTATTCTCTCATGTCTTTTGAATTCATTATAACAACAATATTAACAATTATGAAAACTGAATTTAATAACTTGTATAAAGTGGGAAATATGATTCCATAAGAAATTTGAAAAAAATACCACTTCAGCTCACATTTTAACTCATGCCGTAAATGGAGAAAGTTTTATGCCATGGAAATGCAGACTACTTGAAGGCCATCATCTTTTTCCCATGTTCTTTTAAACATCAGGGAAAATGATAGAAGAATTAATAAAAGTGTTGATATTATCCCTGTGGGAAGCCTGATAATTTTCTGAAAGTGAACACTTACACAGATGCACACACACGCACATACACTTAAAGGAAAAACAGGCAAATTGGATAAAACAATTTAATTGAGCAAAGAATAATTTGTGAATTGCACAACCTTCAGAACCCAAAGAGGTTTAGAGAGCTCCATTCTCCAACTTGGACAGTTTTGTAGACACAAAACAGAAGTGAGGTACAGCTTGACTGGTTATGGCTCTACATTGAACTTTTCTGGGGATGGTCTGATAAATTGATATCCTGGGATTGGCTGAAGTTCAGCTGCCATAATCTGCTGAGACTCAAACGGTTATTGCAAAATACATAACTCCTCAGGTAGGATATAGTTTATTTGTGTACTAAGTAAGATTGCAGTTTGTTACATAAATACTCAAGGTAAAGAGAGAGATTCAGAACAAACATATTTGTGTGTGTTCCTATTTCTGTGTTTTTACTCTTGCTTAATTTTATGTTGCTTCTATAACTAATGAATTAGTTTATGAGGTTTACTGAAATTGCAATTTCCTTAATCAGTGCAATTTCCTTAATCCTCAAGGTGTGATGTGAAATTTTTCCTTAAAAATCTGAGCTTTAAATATTCCTTACTTCAAAAGGATAAAAATGTTACTGTCACATCATTTAATATAAATGTTAATTCAAGATTTATCATTATTTAAGGTACTAGGAAGAAAAAAAGCACTGCACAATAAATTTTATTATTTTTTTGTTTGAATTTTTTGTCTTTGTGAATTTTCTTAATAATATACTTATCTAACATTAGGATTTTGAATAAATGAAAATGATAATGTAAAAAAATGATTGATTCATTTCTAAATACATCAATTTTAGTGTTTTAGAGTTCAATTCATTTCTATACTTTTTAATTCAAAGTAATGGGTGTCCATGTTTTTCTACAAATTCTTGTCCTCTGCACTATTAAAAAAAATGGAGATAATAGCTTTTCTTAATGAAAGCTCCTCCCTGGTATTTTCTCTATTTCATTGACAACCATCCCATGGTGATGCTAGTTTTGATTATACCAAGAGGTATTATTGGTATATGTTGAAACAACAACCTAAAATTATTATCATCGTTTCTTCAAATGATTCTTAAATTTTTTCCCCCACAGTTTGGATCAGAAATAATCCCTAAGCTTTCATGTGTCAAAGGCTTGGTCCTCAGTTTGGTCTATGGGATGAGTGAGAACCCTAAACGGGTGGGTCACAGTTGGAGGAAGTTAGGTCACGGGAGGCATACCCTTGCCAGAGATATGAGGACTTTGAAGATTTGCCCTTGGTCTCTTTATTGTGGGCTGCTGATTGACTCAATTCCTCTGAAACACGCTCCTATCATAATGTACTGTGATGCCCAAGGACCAAAGGCAATGAGGCTAAGAACCCATGGACCAAAACCATTGAACCATGAATCAAAAGGAATCTTTCCTTCTTGTAAATCGATTACCTCCGGTATTCTGTCACAGTGATAAGAACACTGACTAACACAGTTCTGCTAACTGACAGGTTGAGTGGCTGTGGCGGACCACACACACCACCAGGAAGAGAATCAATTCAATACATTTCTTATCTTTCTTATGTTTTTAACCTTTTCAGTCACATGTCCACAAGTGAAATTATGAACCAAAATACTAAGTAACTTAGCATAAAGGTTTGATGTTTTCTGTTCTGTGTTTTAGCCATTTTTTCCTGACAGCTTGCCTGACATTCATTCAAATTTTTGAGCATACACAACAAAGTTATTGAGGAAGATTTCATTGTTAAGAATTTCTTTTAGGGATTAAAATGAGGTAAAAAGGAAGAAAATTTAAGTTTCACAATGATGTGCTGTTTTTCCTAATTAGTATTCTTGACCTGGTCTTTGTAGCACTCACATTAAAATTTTAAAGCATGTCAAAATGGTGGCTAAATTAATAATTTAATAATAATTTCTGCATAGTTTTAAGTTTTTTTTCCAGATTTAAATCATATTAGAAATTAAGTAGCTTCTGATCAAAGGAGACAGGAAATTTCTAAACCATTAATGTTTGATGCTTTAAAAGTAGTTCTAGATAATGCATGACACAGTCATGCCAATATATTTTTGTTGTGAATTTCTCATATCTATTATGAAGCATTTGTCAATTTTATTGCCTTAATTGATATCGGATACCATTTAACAGTTTTTTTTCAATATCTTCATAACAAGCATAATAGACTTACTTAAAAGTTTTTCATAGGTTCTTTACAGCATTTTTTTAAATTCACGAACAAACATACAATAGCATTTGTTCCTCCAAAAGCAAATATTTATTATTTATTACATGCAAGGTTCATTAGGATTCTGCTTTTTTCAATATTTCTTTTAGTTCAAATTGAATTATCCTATAATTTTAATGCATTAAATACCAACTAAACCAAACAAATATAAAATTAGTCATGCATATTTCACAAAATTAAAGATAATTTGAACATTTGTACATATACTGAGAAGTACCTTGTGACAACTGCCAAGCTGACAGTGACTTTCAGATGTATTTATGGAAATATACAGTTATTTATAGACATGATAAAATGTGGGAAATCATACCTTAAATAAATAAAACCTAGGCTTTTTATAGCACTGTGTTTTAAAATTAAAATGGCCCATTATCTCATTTTAATTTGTGGAAGACACCACAGGCAACTTATTCCTGGCTCAAAAACAGAATGTGAACATGGTAAAACTCTATGTGACTCATCTTATTTTTTTTTTTCAATAAACACGTAGATTTATTTTAAATCAGTTTGGTACATGATACAGATTGGTTTTGCAGTTTAAAATGAACTGAAATAGAAATTTCTAAATACAGCAGTGTCTGCCTGTGCAACAAATATCTATAAAGTAAAATAAGGCATTTGATAGACCTACATCTGCATGAACAAATCAGATGAAAAATCTGAGAAGATTTCATAATATACCTTCTGGATTAAAAAAACCCAAAAATTATTAATGGCTCAAGATACTACATTGCTAAAGGAAGGGGGTGGGGGAGTCAGAAAAGGCTGAGTTCTGTTCCTAGAGCTCATCTGTAGACTTGCAAAATCTAACAACATTATGCTTTTGTTGTTAGAGGAGTGCTCAAAATTATAGAAGCTTCAAATCAAGTCA